AGGTGCGGGACACCTTTCTAAAGGTGGCAGGCGCGGCGAGGGGGACATGCCTGCTGTCCACAGATTTGTTGGGTACGGCGGTCGAGCAGGAAGCCCTCCTGTGGTATACCGAACTGCTCTCCCGCGAATTACCCTGAGCCGGGCTGTCCTTTGAGTGACGGGTCGCCTGTAGCCGGTTATGCCGAGCTAGCTGACTCGAGGTGTTTGTACCTCGGGGTGTCCGGAGAAGGATCGGTGCGTTCTTGCCTGGGAGCGGGTCTTAAAAGGGGTCAGGGCGTCCCGAACTCAGGACCCCCCGAAGTGCCTTAATCGCGGGGAGGAGGTGCGGGTAAGGCAGCTTTCGACGAGTAGTTTACCTGCCGAGTTGCCGTGTTGAACTTGGTGGGACTTTCCCTCAAAGTTGTGCTCACGCTCGTTGCGCTGTCATGCTGAGTCACTGTTTGAGCAAGGTCACGCCCACGTATACCTATTCTATGAGGTCGGGCCAAATCACCCTCCATCAGTGAGTTAGAGGAAAAATAGTCTTTTTCAGTTTTCAATTTTATTATTATTTTTTTTATATTTTTAGTGTTTTGTTATAATTTCTATTTTTTTTTACATTTTCTATTTTCTACAATCTATAAATTTTCCTGCATTTTTGTTATTTATTTACAATTTCTGTGTTTTTTATAATTTTTGGTATTTTTCTACAATTTTTTATTTTCTAATTTTATTTTTCAATTTCTATAAATTCTATAATTTGAAAATAATTTTTTATATTTTTATTTATAATTTTTATATTTTTATATATTTTATATTTGAAAATATATTTTTTAAATTTTTTCTTTTTTTTTATATTTAACTATTAAAATGATAATATATTAACACCTATTAATTTATTTTGTATATGTTTTATATTTTTTTATGAAGGTTAAAATGATAATATATTAACACCCGCTAACGTGTAAGTTAGTGATACGACATTTTAAAAAGTTGTGGTGGTTTAAGAGAAATGAAACTCACTGTGAGTTTTAGACAAATTCCCTTATTATTTTGTACCGCAGTGCGCGTTCGTACAAAAAATGGAAAGGACAAAATCCAGTTCATCAAAATATAAGCCCTTCAAAGCTCATATCCCGCCTGTTGATTGTTGAACCTCTTCCATTCCCTCCCTTCCTCTCTCTCTCTGTAATTCATCTCCCTTCACTTCGTTTCTAATGGCGTCGATTATAGGAGATAATCTAACTAGAGAACAGTATGTTTACCTGGCCAAGCTCGCCGAACAGGCTGAGCGATATGAAGAGATGGTTAGCTTCATGGAGAAACTGGTAGTTGGATCTTCCTCGGTTGGTGAGCTCACGGTCGAGGAGCGAAACCTTCTCTCTGTCGCTTACAAGAACGTGATTGGATCCCTACGTGCCGCCTGGCGAATCGTCTCTTCGATCGAGCAGAAGGAAGAGGGGCGCAAGAATGAGGAACATGTAGCTCTTGTCAAAGATTACAGATCAAAGGTTGAATCCGAGCTCTCTACCGTATGCGCTGGTATACTGAAGCTCCTGGATGCACACCTTATTCCATCGGCCTCCGCCAGCGAGGCCAGGGTGTTCTATCTCAAGATGAAGGGGGATTACCATCGATACCTAGCTGAATTCAAGGTCGGGAATGAGCGTAAGGAGGCTGCGGAAGATACTATGCTCGCTTACAAGGCTGCTCAGGTATTTATAGGGATTTTCATTTTTTTCTAAGGCCCTGCTTGATCTTTTAGGGTTTGATCTATAGGCTCAGTTTGGAAGGAGTACAAACTGAGCCATAAGTATTACCGGGATCAAAATTTTAAACTGATCTCAGTAATGATTGTTTTTCCATCAAACGCTAATAAGGTCCTGAATGAGGTTGGGCTTCATATTTGCAGGTGGATGCATGTCAGTAAAAGTAAATGAGTTTTGCTTATTGCTGTTTTATTTATTTTGATTGAAGGATATTGCACTTGCTGATCTTGCCCCGACGCATCCTATAAGATTGGGGCTGGCACTCAACTTCTCTGTGTTTTACTACGAAATACTCAACTCATCAGAGAAAGCTTGCAGCATGGCAAAACAGGTTCTGTTCATCCCTTAGGATTTCCACAATTGTTTATGATTCGAACCTTTTTACCCCTTATGTCCTTTGTGCTTGGTTGTTCTGATTTCTAGTGTGAGTGACGGTAAAAGTCTATTAAAATAGTTATTATTTATTTTATGATTTGGGAGTGTGTACATATTCATGATTTGATCTTATTAGTTTCTTTCAAAAATTCAAACTTTTTTAAAGCCTATTGGATGTTTTAACCAGGCTTTGCTAGCGAAGAGGGATTTTTTGGGTATTTTGGTTTTCATTAAACTCAAGAAATAGCTTAAAAGAATTGATGTAAATCATAACTTCAAATCTGTGGTAAGGCCCAAAACTTCGACTCAAAAAGCCCAAATCCGATCCTCCAGTGCCCCAACCCATCTCAAAAAGCATAATTCTTGAACCCGACTTGACCCAACCCGTAACATTTCAACTATATTTTTTTAACAAGTTTTGAAGACCTAAAATCCATTAATTTAAGTTGGGAAATTGTTTTATAAATTCTAAGGTGTCACTTTTCCCATTTAAAAAAAAAAGAAGAAACCAATATCAACATGTAAATAAATCTTAAACTTTAAGGCTATATAGTTCTAAGTCAAAAAGGTACAGAATACTTTGTATATATGTAGGGTATCATGACCCGGTGGGGCGGGTCAGCTAAAACCCGAACCCAACTCTGGTTGAAGAATCAAAACCCTAACCTGACCCTAAAGCTGAAATGCTTGACCCTAACCTGGGTCGGGTCAAGCCAGGTTTACCATTTAACCCGACCCATTGACATCCCTAGGTGAATCTATAGCTAGCTAAGGGGTTCTTGAATCAGACTTTGAGATTCAGGAAATCCATCTTCAAACCCTTCATTTAGCCTTACTGAAGCACAAACATCAGTTTTGCAAAGGTAATAAAAATTGAGGAAGATGACAAACCATCAGGTCAATGATTTCATAATTGAGTTGGGTTTTATTTGATTGATACCGAGCTTCATGCCCTTGACAAGAACACAAGGCTAATGAGGAGGGCAAGAAAAGCTTTATGCTCTTGTAAAGGTACCACAGATGGTTCATTAGTGGTTACTCCCAAAAACCCAGTGATTTAAAAGGTGCACCTAGGCGCATAGGCGAGGCACATACCCTAAAATGCGCCTCACCTAGGTCCTAGCTCCTAAGTGTAGCCCTTTCAAAAGGCGCATGCGTGGTGCGCCTTATGCGCCTTAGCCCAGGCATGCACCTTTTTAAAATTTTATGCTTTTTTGCTTTTTTTTGAACCTAGCAGCTAGGCACCGGAGTGGAATAGAACCCCCTTTTTGCTAATGTTGTTCATTTATTCATTTTAATAAAATATCTTTTTAAAAGGCAATTAAAGTTATAAATCATTATTTTTTATGTGTGAATTAAGAATTTAATATCTTGACATGGACTTGTTTGGGCTTGCCTTGAGGGGTGTGGTACAAAGGCGGCTTGTAGAACCGTAATGCAATTGAAGGAAAAAGAAAGAGATTGTGGGTTTTACATGCTTGAAAATGCTTTACATGTTTGATTTTATTTTTAAATTTTCATTTGAATACTATTTACATGTCATGCTTTACATGTTTGATTTTATATAATATAATTTTTATAAAACATTTGTTTTGAAATTTAAGTTTATATTTTTATTAATATTATGTTTAATCTTTCTTGATTTTTTTTTGAAAAATTGGCATTTTTTGAATATTCTAACATTTTTTTTTTAATTTTTTAGCTTTCTTTTTTTTTGTATTTTTGTGCCATGCTTCAAAAAGGTGTGCGTCTCGGGCGTAAGTTGGCTCTTGTGCTTTTTTTTTGCGTCTTGCGCTTTTAAAACACTGCAAAAACCTTGATTGGATGAATTTGGTTCTTATTTATTTATTTTTGATCAATCAATGTGTCTATTTGTGCATGGTTAGCGATTAGAAAAAGTCTCTTTCTCAGCAACCCACAGAATCTGTGAAGTCCATTATGGTTAAGAATGTTGGTTAATTGCTATATGCTATAGTAACTTTTGCTTCAATTCACTTATAAGAAAAAACTTTTGCTTCAATTCACTTATAAAAAAAACTTTTGCTTCAATCGTAAGTCCATTTATGTTTGACTGAAGGAGATACCCATAATTTATCTTCTCCATGAAATGCTAAGCCAAGGACAGTGGTAGGTCAAGTTGCAATGATAACCATGTCCTAGGAAAACCTTAAACATCATTTAAAATGGCAAAGCTTCTATTGCCATGTCTTGACTGCTAACTGTTTGAGATATTTTTGTATTTCTTTTAATAAACTAAACTAAACTATTTTTGGAACATGTCCCTACTCCCTTAATCTCAACTCAGCTCAACCTAACAAACAAAGCCTTATCCCAACTATATGAGGTCAGCCACATGAATCCTTTTTCACCATTGCATGGTCACATCCATTGTTAATTTGAGCTCTAAATTATTTATTACAACCTAGACCAGTGTTATTTTTGTCCTACCTGGTACCCCTAACTCATCTAAACTCTTCAACCTGCAAAATATCACTTTTCATACTGGTTTGTTAGGTGGTTTCATGTACATGCAAAATTATCTTAGCGTAGACTCATTTTGTCACTTATTGGAGCTGCTCCTAGATTCCTCTTAATACAATCATTTATAATTCTAGCATTTCTGGTTTTACCACTCATCCATCTCCCATTTGCATTTCTGCCACACTTCTTTTTAATTATGTTGCCCTTTTGGTTGCTTGATGCTTTACTCCAGACAATTTTGTAGGCTTGTCCCATAAAGCTTCCCTTTTAACCCAATTGGGCATTCTAGATTGATGTGTTGGCCTATCATTTTGTTGAGTTTAGTGTTTCTGAAACTCTGGATCCATTTATAATGGTAACACATAGGACTATTTCCTAGTTATATAAATTATGTAAATGCCTTGGTTTCATAGGATAGGTATATTATGTTTTTTCATGGTTAGGTCTATCTTACAATAAACAATCATATACATGATATCAATTTGATGAATTAGATTGATGAGATTGGATAGCTATGATCAATAGACATCAGGCTAGATGCACAAAGATCCAGTCTTAGATTGTATGGGCCTTAAAAGATGAGAAAATAAGTTTTGCAAGGTGCCTTTCTTGGGCTGGCAAGCATGAGAACATGGGTTCAAGTCTGAGGGCAGCCACTTTCTGTGAAAAAATTCCAAAGATTAGAACCACCTAGTCTACCCCTCCCAAGACCCCAGATAGCTGGGACCAATTCAGATGCCTTTCTTATTATTGGGTTGAAGAGTGCAGAGCCATGTGTTATGATAGAAAGGTGATAAATAAACGTAGAAGTTTATCTTATGTTGCATTGCTAACTTGCTGTATAGGACAATGGAATCTATAATTTATTATATCAAATAGGCAGAAAATTTCAAGTTATGCAAAACTGGCCCTAAATCCAAACTGTTGGCATTGAACAATGTAGGAAAATACCAAAGGTTAGGTCCATATCTAGTCTACCCCTCCCAAGGCCGTTGATAGCAGGGACAAACATTTAGTAATGGCCTTCTTTTTATTTTTTTTGTTTTTGAAAGTTAGTAATGGCCTTCTGTTGGCACTGAACACTGTCCGACATGTGGAAACTTGAGCTGTTTAAGAGTCCTTGCAATATTGATCTCTTGGCTAGTTGTAAAAGAGGTCAAAGATAAGAGAAGATGTAGTTTCATAAATATTTCATGTCTGGTTTGGACTTTGGACTGTGCTTCTGCTTTTCTGGTAAGTCCAGTCACCCAATGGTAAAAGGAGAATGCAGAACCAACTTTGGGAGGATACTCGACAGGTGAGAGATGCATCATTATATCATTGGGGATAATGAGTTATTGACTCTATGGATATTCAAGAAGTGAGAGATGCATCATGATATCATGGTGGATAAAGAGATAATGGTTTTATAGAAGACAGAATACTATCAGTAGATCACTAGCCTTCCACTTCCAGGCTATCCTGTTGAGCATGTCATTCTAGTTCTTATTTCTTCCACTACCAGTAGATCACTATTTGGGTTCTTCCTTTCCTTTTAATATTACTAGCTGGGTAGCATGTGCAAATGCACATGCATGAGAGATGAATATAATGAACTAAGATTTTGTGATGATCCTCTTGACGTGAAGCCAAGTATTGGCACTATATTGGCTAGGATTGTTCCCTTTTTTTTTTTTTTATTTGCACTGTGTACCACTATGGCGTAGCAACTTTTTTAGCCCATATTATTTTCTATTATACATATGTGAATCTATTTCCTTTTTCTGTTCCTTGCATTTTTCAATTATTATTATCTTTTTATATGCAGGCTTTCGAGGAAGCCATTGCCGAACTCGATACCTTGGGCGAGGAGTCATACAAGGACAGCACTCTTATCATGCAGCTCCTAAGGGACAATCTCACCCTCTGGACTTCTGATGCTCAGGTAAAAATAAATATGTCAGATAATCAGATGACAATTGAGTAGCATGTGTTTTTTATGCAAATATAGGGCCAGCACTGTTACCATATTCATATGAGTTTTAATCAAATTGCAATATTTGTATATGCAGGATCAGTTGGATGAGGCATAGAAAGATGTTACAGGGTGCTGGTGGTTCATTGTTCTCCTTGAGGAGGTGGGCGCAAATGTCATTTTCTCTGTAATCTGCATATACGACTGATTAATGTGTAATCTAAACTCAACAGAGACATCAATTGATGCAGTTTCTAATATTCGAATTAGATTTACTTTTTCAAAATTTAAAAACACTTGGGTACCCTTTGTCAAGTCTTTTTTAAAGATCTGACAGCTAAAAGACGTAGTGAGTTTTTACATAAAGATTGGTTGGAGGTGCATCTTTTTACGTGAAGATGAGATAAAAAAGGCAAGAAATTTCATTTTTAGTTTCCTAAAATAGGTTTGAATCAAACTTCACGCATTTTTTTGGGCATAGTCTTTCAGTAGTTAGATCTTCCCTCACCCAAATGGAAGAAGTGAAAATGCATGCTGCTGGTAGGGGTGCAAATGGCTGATCCGATCCGATCCTCTTTGGTCAAATTCGGGTCACCCCTGTTTCGATCTTCGGATTGGATTTGGATCACCTGCTATCCGATCTGAGAAGATCTGATCTGATATATATTATATATTTATAAATATATATATATATATATATATATATATATATATATATATATAACACATATGTATGTTATTTATTTATTTATAAATATATTTTTATATAATTTATTTTTTATAAAAATATGTATATATATGATGAAAATAATTAAAAATACTTTATTATTTTGTTTTTATTTTATTTAAATTAGTATATTTTATTTTCTTTTAATAATTTATTAATTTTTAAAGAAAACAAGTTAGATTGGATTAGATTCGAATATCTGACTTATTGATAGGATTCAAATTCAAATAGAGTCCTATTAGATCTGATTGAATCTTCAGATCGTGTAAAAAATCAACATCATTTGGAGAAAATGTCTGCATATATGATGACTTGTCCATGATTCACAAGTAATATGAATCATGGAGGGATTCCTCATCCGAGGTGGTGAAATTTTAGGGCTGTGTTTGAAAGCGATCGATAGAGTTAAACACTGATGGTTTAAAATCTCTATGAATTGTTGTGCTTTGAAAAACGTGATAGTCAATGGTTTAAAATCTATTTACATCGATTATCGATGTAAGGGGAGTTTTACATTGATTTATGATGTAAAACTCTACTCTATCAAAACGTTGAAAAAATCTGAATTGGTAGTGGAGTTTTACATCAATCTTGATTTACATTGCAAATACATGTTGACAAAAATGAAGCAATGGTGGAGTTTTACATTGATACCGATTTACATTGCAAACAAACGTAGCCTAGGTGTTGCTTTGGTTTCCTTCCTATAGATGCTCCGTTTGGTTCGTGGGAGTAGGGGTCAGGAATCAGAACCAGAACCATAATAGGTTATTCCAATTCCAACTAATCGTCTATTTGGTTGGGTGGAATTAGTATCCCATTCTCATTTATGGTGGAATGACATTTCTCAATTTGAGCAGTGGGCCATTCCCTCCCCCTTTCTTGGGAATGAAAATCCCATTCCAGTTGATTCCAATTCTCATTCCGGTTCTTGTTTGAACTGAATAGACTATGAGAATAGACCATCCCGATTCCGGATGCAAACCAAATGGACCCTAAGTGTGCAACAAAGAGCATAGAATCAAGGTTTAAAATATGAATGCTATTTTCGATGGGAAAATCTATGATGTCGGAAGGGCATGATACTAAAAAGGCTTTGACCAATCATTAACCCCCCCTCCCCCCGGTGTGAATTTTATGATGCATCATAGTGGAACCTAGGGGTTAGCAAATGGGTAGGTTTTACCTTGAACTGAATGGAACCAGCCTGAAATTGGACTTAAATCGACCCTACCCAATCTGTTATAGGGTAGGGTATGCTTCCAAATTCTTGGAATCGATCCCCACCCAAGCCAGTTCTTGGGTTTAAGGTTTATTCTACCCGAACCGACCTGATGAATCAGCCTTGGAGGAACCGACCTTATACCGGACTTGTCTCAAAATACTTTTGAGGATGCGAAGATTTGAACCCAAGTACTCGTGGTTACTTAAGTGATTTGATCATTTGTTTTCATTTTAATAATTAAATGTGTATAAAATATTGTAAAAGGTAATATTTATAAAATTTAAATTATAATAATAAGTTTTGAACCATACATTAATATTTTAAAATAATCTACATATTAAATTACTCATTTTCATCAATAAAAATAGGGTTGACTATGACATAAAAAAGATATGATATCCAAAAAACAACTAACTAACAAACTGGAATCATAAACGTGGTAACCAATAAAGTGTTATTTATCAAAATTCATGGATGGGTTTTGATTGGTCAAAACACTTTTCATACCATATCTTTTCCGCATCATAGATTTTCCCATAAAAATAATATAAGTTATAAAATATATAATGTATTTATTAAAAATGAAGTTTTTAAAGAACATGTTTCATTTTTCTAAAGGAGGAGAGTAAATAAAGAACAGGTTATATGGGTAGATCCTATAATCGACATTGGAACCTCCAAGACCAGAAATGACCCTGGAATTTACTTTTTACAAGATAAGTTCCGGTTCCAAAAACTTGAATTCTTAGAAGGTAGGTTCTAGATTCTGCCCTGGAGCCAAACCAAATCGACTCATGCTCACCCCTTGTGAAACTCATTTGACCATTGTATTCTTTATTGCATTGTATCAAGCCTGCATTGGTCGACAGAAAAGGATAAAGATGAAGGTCAATATGCTGCTATACTGAGACTCTAAATATACAATTGATATGTACGATGTTGTGATATTTTGAAATTGATTTGAAGTGTAAGGATATATTAATAATGTAATTAGATTTGAGATACCTTGGATTACATTAGTAGATCAATGGCTTGGGAAAATTCAAAATTCATAAAAAATAGTTTATTCATTAAACAACCATAAGTTTGATCTATAAAGATTTATCAAATTCATTGATCCCAATTAATGTATTAATTTGTAAAATACCATATAATGTGTCTAAAATTCTTGATCAATGCATTATTAGATTTAGTGTTACCAAAGTACCTATACAATTTGTAAGAATTGTGATGCTTCTAGGCGTATTCAGATCTCTAATGTTAGAGACTGGTATTTCAGTATCCAGATCTCTAATTTTAGAGACTGATGGCAATACACGGAAGCCCGCCCATGCGTTTCTCTATCTGGTTGGGGTATGCGAACGGCGTTTACGTATTGGGAGCAAAATGTGTCCGATGTAGGTGTAGGAATGGGCTTCAAATATCAAATAAGTGTTTATACTAGGAAGTACAAGTGTTAAGTGAAAAAGCACTTCTTTCAAACAGAGTAGAATGGGTATTTTGAGAACCACATGATGGGAAAGAAACACATTTAACATTTTTTTTTAAAAAGCACTTTAAAAAAGCCAAAAAATTAAACTTAATCAGAATGGACTTATTGAAAAATAGCACCTGATTAGTCACCCACTTTATCATACTAGTTGATTGGCCGTAAGTTTTTCATATATCATGTATTTTTTGATATCATAGTTGAACCCTTATTAAAAAATGCTTATTCAGGCTTATTTCTCAAATACAAATAAGTATTTATTGACATGATCCTAACCTAAAATAAACACTTTTTCTAAATTCCATTAAGTACTTAAATACCACATGATTGGTCACCCTACTTATGATACTGGTTGATTTGGTTGTAAGTTTTTCTAATATCATGCCTTTTTGGCATCATACTTGAACCCTTATTGAAAAAGTACTTATTCAGGCTGATTTCTCAAATATATAAATTTTTGGGACAAATTTCTTAAATTATCCCTACTGTTTAACTAATTGACAAATTGTTCTCTTGCGGTTTAACTGTTGTCTTAGAGTACACCTACGGTTTCTGACAATTGTCATCATCGTTAAATTGTAACAAAAAGGATAAAATGTCCCTTTTACCCTTATTCTCTACTTGAATGCAATTCCGTTCTTCTTAGCGACCTCAGTTAGGTTTGTTTTGAAGCTTTCTGTTAAATGCCCCGCTTTGGTTCGTCTATGCTTACGGACCCCAATCCAATGACTTCAGTGACAAACTAAGTTACCTCAGTGATGGATACGATCAAGCAAAACATTCCCAATATAACTCCCGTTGCGAACACAGTGAATAAAACCGATGACACTGTAAGAGTCAAAGGAGTTCAGAAGCTGAAAGAAAACCTTCCCAGCTTAAAAAGGCTGGAAGGAGATCGGCTGTTCTGTGAAAAATGTGATTGATGGACCTGCCGGCGAAGTGGTCTCAAACTCTTTCCAAGTCCGATTTCTTAATCTATTTTTCCTTCCTCGGGTCTCTTATTTTCATTGTCTGGAGTTGGATCGATAATTCCCAAGTAGTGTATTTGATCCTTTTAGACACCCCGTGCCTTCTCTATTTCAATTATCGAATTGGATGAAGTTGATTAGTCCTGTTTCTGGTAGGCGGAGGTTCACCTTATAGGATTTATAAAGGGTTAAATCCAAAGCGGGATGAAGTCAAGGATCTTTAGCAAGAAGTAAAGGCTACAAGAGCAGAGATTGAGAAACTGAAGAAAGATTGGGTATCTCGTTTGTAGGTAGAAGGATTCAAAATCACAGATAAATTTGGTGATCCGTTCTATTAGAAGCGGGTTCTTATGAATAATTGTTTCCTATTTGACTTGAATAATGTTAGCCCTAGTATTGTGATGCCGGAGGCCTAGAGCTGCGACATGTGTCGTTTAAGGGGAAACCACCGCTAGTGCAGGGGAGCCGAAGTAGCGGCCAAAATCCAAAGCAATTTCCGCATTCAGAATGAAGAAGTTGACATTGGGAGTCCCATATGCATCTTCTCCATCAACGCATGCAACACAAAATCACACCCCTCACCCCTTAACCTATCAGATTCAGGAACTTTTTTGAAGAAAACGTTTGATCTATTTCTTGTGAAAGAGAAACCCAACTATTATACTTTTTTCTTTTATTGTTGCATTTTTTCAAATGCTGTTCGTTTTACTGAAGGTTTGATCACTTTGAGAAGATGTGCTCCTTCAGGTTTCGTTTTGTTGTTATGTCTGGAAAATAATTGAACTTTAAACCAAACTCTATATTCATGTTTAAGGTTTTTCTTTCATTTCATTTGGTTAAAGCCTTGAAGGACAGAGGTATTTCCTGTTGGCCTTGATGGGTTCTTGGGAAGATGGAGAGAGAGGGAAAGAAATTGGAATAAGGGAGTGGCAGCGTTCTGTGGTTGCCCCGAGAGAGGAAGGGGACAAAGGTAATATTGGATTTTAAAAAAATTTTAAACGTTAGTAGTGTCACTATGTGTACAGAATGCTAACAACAGGGATAGAATTAATCTATTGTCGAATACTCAAAGACAATAGTTACAGAGTAAAGTACAATTTGTCAATTAATTAAACAGTAAGGATAGTTTAAGAAATTTGCTCTATATATTGGCATGGTCCCGACTTGGAATAAGCACTTTTTTCAAATAAATACATAAGAATTAGCACCACCATACGGGGGCTAAAAAAAGGTAAGGAAGTTTACGAGGAGGGATGACAAGTGATTTGGTTACCTAGGCTGGTGATATCCTGGTGAACCCGTGTATATGCTTCACGTAGATAGATTATTCAGTGACGCAAAGAGCATTATGGGGGTCAATTACAAGTCACAGCTCACAACTACCAGTCATAGAATTATGGGGGGCGAGAGAGAGATGACATAAAAACAAATATGCATACTAGTCCAAAAACTAGTGACTGTAAACAACCTGCATAACATGAGAACATGCAGATGCAGCAGCGAGTAGAAAGCACCAAAAAACTGAATCAGCAACTAATCACATGGCTATCTTCAAATACGGGAGGTTACGTTACGTCTCTCTGCCAGGGATATCAGTCCCTCGTACTGTTCTTTAGCCACTCCAGGTACTTGAGGCTGCCACCCTTAATGGGCAAGGCAATGACTTCAGGAACCCTGAAGAAATCACAAAGAAGAAAAAGTCACATACACGATGATATTTTATTTTATCCAAGGCCTTTACGTCAAGAGAACTCTGAAATATCATATTGCACGCCAGCCAGCCATGTTACACATGTAATTGAGTCTAAGACCACCCAATCTATGGGCCCCACGTAGAAGACACCATAGAAATTTCATCTCGGATACATTGCAGTGGAATGGTACAGAGTAGGGAGGGTTCTACAATATGATCCATTTCCATCAAGGAAATGCTAAGCTAGGCCTGAGGACCGAATATTCTTAGCCGATACCTTGCAACCTGTGCTTTTGGAGCACCCATCTCAATGCATGTTTTGGAGTTGTTAGGAACAGGGCAAAAGAATGACACTCAGGGATTGGTTTACCATCAGTACATCTGGGTAGTAGTCCAAGAAGAAGAGAATCCCAAAAGCATTTCTCAGAAGGCAACAAAGAAGAACCCAAAGAGCATAGTAGCCAAATTGCATACACCAAGAACAGCCATTGAATGGCCCAAATTGCTACCTTCTTTCTAACTCCACATAACCTCAGATTAGTTCTTTTCCACCCAAATATGTGAAAAGGTGGAGACAATGAATCCAAACGGACCCAAGAGTTTGGGGTTGTTTTGGGGCTCAGCCTTTCAATTCATGCGCATATGAATGCACAATACACACGCACGCGCACTCACACACACACACACACAGAGAGAGAGAGAGAGAGAGTGAGTACTCATATTCATGATTGGCTCTGACATGCTCTGTCAGAGCTTCCAAAAGGGGTTCTCTGGTCTTGATTATAAGTAGTTCCTCAGAATCCTGATGAATCTGGAATAAAACAAAAAATACTATCAAACCTTGGAAGAAATTAACTTAACCCATATGCCTTACTAACATAAAGTGAATATCCCACTTCTGAAAGAGCGTACAGAATCTACACATTAAGTGTAATGCACATGCCTTCCCTGCTTGTTGGTTTAATGATCAAACCTGAATCTTCTACCTAGTACTAATTTCTGAAAACCTTAAGAATTAAATTATGTATAGTATAAATTGATTTACTGATTTTTCTTTGAACTTGAGAGAATGGAATCCTGTACCTCACCCTGCCACCGATAAAGTGACTCAATTCCTGCATTGTTCAAATTAAAATCAAGAAAGTCAGCTAGAAACTTGCATCGATTTTAGAAAGAGAAACTGAGTGGACTAGAATCACTGGCAACCCAAGGACAGAATGAATGACACAAATAAGAGGTCAATAAACCAAAGGAAACCACTGTTAAAATGGGCATCAAATTAACACTTGGAAGGAGCTTCTTTGGAGAGTTCCCCTGAACTACAAGAATGAAACACTACGAACAAAAGTAAAATAACAAATCATTTTCATCAGATTGTCGTAATAGCTGTTTCCATCACAAATTATGAACTGCAAATTCATTCAGTTTAGATGCAATGATGCATCAATGGTCAAACTGAAATTAGTGTAAATCACAAATACAGTTTAAGATTCACTAAGATGCTCTCAACATATGCAGTTAAGTCCATGATTTAGATTAAATGAATTACTGCATAGGATGATCTACAAGTGGTAGAACCATATCCATAGAACATAGGTTCAGTTGACGTGATACATAAAAGGTAAAAGGTTAATGACGCCTATGACATAGATTATCATCCAACTAGATGTCAGGTATCACCCTGGTACATGTTGGAAGTGGATGGTTAGTACTAATGCCAATGCAGCCCCTAATTGGTTAAACTGATAGCTGCAAGCAATCATAGGTTAGATATCTGAAAGATGCCCCATCTTTGAATTTTTTGTAGATGTCACCTCAAATACTATTTTCGGCTTAGTTACTTATGAAAGGTGAGGAAACCATATCAAGCACTAAAGCTTTTCTGGTTAGCAAGGAACGTTGTCTTTACCAATAAAACAAAAGGAATATTGTCTTTTATTATTTCCATCATCATCATCATCATCATCTTTAAGTATTTATTGTTTAGGTGAAAAGGGTAAGTACTGGTGGTAATTCATTTGTTGACCACTGATAAGGCTCTGGTCCACCACCAACCGGGAAATCAGACCAAGTAGCATAGCTTGACAGTTGATGCCCAAGGCCCATGAAACAATACTCTTCTAGAAATTCAAGCGCACCAATCAAATATACCTATGCAAGGACATGACATCAGCTAGTTGAGAAATCAAACATATAATACATGAGTCCTTGTAAGGCTATATAAATCAAGCAATGATAATTGGCGGGCAAGAAGAGGCAGGGTTCCCTCGAAGAGACCCCTGAGGTGAGAAGTATCTCACAAACTGGTATTAGAGCCAGGTCAGTGAATAGAAGAAGTTTCTCACATCAAAAACAAATATTCTATCATCAGTGGTGGAGGAACACATGGATAAGATTGAAGTTGAGTTACATAAGGTCTCTGGTGTAGCAATTGGATTGAAACCTCCAGCAACTGAGAAAGTGAGAACAAAGGTTCTCGTCTAAGTAGCAATTGGCACTCCAACTCTTGCTTCAACAGGACTGCGAAATTGGACTTTCCTTCATTCTTAGGTGATAATCCAATATCCTGGATCAATGCATGCCGGTGGCTTCGATGCACCTGGAGGAAGAAGCTAGTACTGTGGCTTCAGTGGCATAGGTGTTCTCACCCTTAGATCTCTTGACCTGACTTTACTGAGGCCCTGTGTGCTCGGTTTAGACAATCTGGCTTCAAAGACTTCGATAAGACTTCTCTAAACTCAAAACAAACCGGATCTGTTTGTGATTATCAGAATAAGTTTAAAAAGTTGGTATCTAGGGTATATAGATAGCTAGAAAGGCATTGGTAGGGCGCGCTGTAGGAGGAATAAGGGGAGAAATCCATATTGACGTCAAGGCTTTACAGCAAGCGACTATGATGGCAGTAGCTAGTTTAGCTTGACTCCATGAAGATAGACTTAACTGATTAAGAAAGTTTAGTCAACCTGCAGATCCAATATTAAGAATTCCTCAAAAACCGGATCTAAACTTAAATAAACCAGCAGGACCTAGTTATTTTGCCATTTAAGAAGTTAACATGGGCCAAGATGCATGTACCCAAACCAAATGTAACCAGGCTACGAAGGCAAGTGGCAAGGGAAGTTTCATTGAAGCCAGTTGGCAGGTCTGACTCAAGTGTTGGCTTGCCTGGCCGTGTGGGAGGAAATAGTTAATGAATGAAGGACACATACCAATGTACCATCAGATTGGATGGTGAACAAGCATGACCATCTAATCTTTTCCGCAACTGATCTCCTCTAATCCTTTTGCAAGTTTTTGTGATTTTGTCTAGCATGTGCCTGTAGTCTGAATGTCTTTATTCTTTATTTTAGATCTATTTTTGGTTTAGTTCTAACTCCAATTGCATGCCCCTTCATAGGATCTCTAAACAACCAGAATCAAACCAATCATGTTTAACTTCTTTAACCCTTTTTTTTATGAATAACTTCTTTAATCCCTATTAAGTCTCTTCTGTCCTAAAATCTTGCTTAAACCCATTAGAATTATGAGGGCACACCACATAATCTGCTACACTATTAATTCTTTCCTTCTCCCTTAAAATTATATCCATTGATTCTATGATCAACTTTAGCAACAAAACCAACATAGTTCTTTCAGTTCATGTCACATAATTGAGTGATTCTTTTTAAGTTCCTTTTTCATTTTTGTATTTTTGTTAATATGAAAACATTTTAAAACTACATTCATAATCACAGGGAAAAATCAAAAGTGGTACAAGAAATATTTATGGAGGTTTCTATGACGCACAAAAGCATATCTTACATTCTGTGAATGACAAGCAACATGAAATTGTAAAAAGCAAAAACTCCCTTGAACTCTTCAAGGCATCAAGAAGTTGAATTACATGCCTGGTACTATGTTGACACATGCTGCAAGTTTTTCTTTTATTATGCTCTCTGCCAGTTTCCTGCCTGCACCAAACATTGTATTGATTAGGATTTCTGCACCAGAAACATGCCATTTTAGAGCACTTTGCTGATTATATGTTGAAAGAAAGCCAATCATGAAGTTCAGAAAAAGGCATGCTTAACATAGAATATTAGCCAACCTTTGAACAAAATAGACCACATGCAGCCGTTTTGATGGGAAATGTTCTCTTGCTTGCACAATTTATAAATGGGAAGAGAATGATCAATGATCAAGGTGGATAAAACACATGCCATAACCTGTTTTTTCTTTCAAATACCAAAATTGCCTCCTAAACTTTAACAAATAGTAATCGCACCAAAACTTCATTTCTTGACACATGATTGTCATGTCGAGACATCCCATATAACACAGAACGTGTGTAGCGTAAATTGCCAAATTCAGGTTAGTTTCCAGCAAAATAAGCAACATAGCATGTAGTGCATGGAACTTCATGGCAATGTTCAATACCATGTTATTCCATCCTATTATAGACACAAATCCATGACATCTGATCATTGCTCGAATAAGAATCCAATACAAAGCTGAAAAAAAAGCATGGAAGGAAGATCACGGAACTAACAAGGGAAGCCAGAATAGGAAGCTATGACGATGGTAAAACAACAGAAGTTTTGCAGTGGCAATGATAATAAAGACCATCAAGAAGTCTAAACTAATAAAGAGATACCAATTCCTACAGAATTTTACCGTGACAATAATAAAACAACCGAAAAATGAGAGCGTTGTGAGTCAAAAACAAAGTTAAACTCCCTCAGTCAAAGGTATAAGCTTTTCAAGAATGACAAACCTGCTTCTCTATTTGGTACAGTAACATAAACGACAATACTTGGAACAATCGTGTTTTCTCCCATTCCGGTAGAATGAATGCCTCTGGCAGATGCTTTTTCAACAAAGCGCGCAACCTAAATAATTACAACGCAGAAATGAATATGGATGAGACACCAAAAATTTTACCCAAAAAAAAAAAAAAAAAAGAATGAGACACCAAACTGAGGATAGAAATCCATTTGGAAATGAAAGTTTCCAAGGCGCGCTGCGCTTATTTTGCAGATTACAACAATACGGAGACATCACTTCATAAGGCATTGGTCAGATCACCTAGAACCGAAGTACAGATCTAGTTAACATTTCATATTACAGAATATATTTCATGAAGCATAAAAGTATTAATCAAGAAAAGGGCGATGATATGGAACTCTTAGGAATCGTAACTTAGGAAGAATGGATACAAAGAATCATTTTTATCTTTACGTTCTAATACTCGATTCTACTTCTGACGTTTCTTTTACCAAGATGAAGTTTTACAGTTCCAATTTTAGATGAAAACCAGTCGAGAATTACAAGAAAAAAATGTCATAATTGACTAAAAAGAATAGAGCAAAGGGACGGAGGGTAGAGTGTATAGATGATCAGGTAAAGAAAATGAAAGCTTAAATAAGTTGAGGTACCCTAGAAAGCAGAGAGGGGCGCAAATGACAGAATGAAACAAGAGAATACCGTAAAAGATCAAAAGAAGAGAAAGGCAGAGACTGTATGCAGCCAGGCCGGCAAGAAGAGGAGAGTGCTGGGATGAAATCGGCGAGACCCCAAACTCCGCATGCAAAAAGCTCCGACCAGAGGTAGTCGACGACGAGCAGAGCACGAGAATAAGAGCGAGAGAAAATTGACGAGGCTGGCTCTACGAGATTGATGCCATGAGCCCATGACCCTTGCGATCCTTACATGATGTTCTCCATTGAACCAGAATACATACAAGCTATCATTGTATGTACACGTGTACCGTCAATTCTTAACCCACCTGTCGCTGTCAGTTGCGATCCAGTTGGCAGTGGTTCGGATTGACGGATCTGCTCCTCACAAATGGGCGCCTCACATGCACATATGTGTGTGAGGCGCCAGGTGTGAGTAGCAGATCCGGTCCTGGGTAAAATTCGGATCTGTTCCTCACACCGACCTACATCCCCGTGTATTGGGATTTGGGAAGTGGGAACATCTCTCGTGAGGTGTGCCTGTGAGGTGCGCTCTATGAGGAGTAGATGGAATAGGATTTGTTCCTTACACATGGGCGCCTCACGCACATTCACGTGCATCGGGAACATCTCCCGTAAATAATAATTTACAAGTACAAGAGATGTTCCCAATGCATGATAGGATGTGCATGTGAGGTCGGTGTGAGGTGCCTTATGTGAAGAGCAGATCTAGTCTCGGATAAAAAACTGGTCATTTAGGCGGATATGAGCATAGTGTTTGATAGGGTAGGGTCTAGGGATTTCTTCCCTATAAAATTTTGCATAAAGGAGTGGTATGATGGAATTGAGATCACTTGTCAATAAAATAAATTCCAACACCCTACAAGGCCATCATAAAAAGTGGGACCCACCATGTATGAGATGTATGGTGTAGAACTTGTTTTGTTGGCAGGTGATCTGGATTCGGTATGATGGTATTTATCACTGATGAAGATTTTTGAGAAAACGATGACGAAGGCAAGACCCCGCTTTGCGTTCTTCTTCAAATCGGATGATGAAAACGTTTGAGAAATCTTATTTCTTTTGAAAAGCCCAAGATCAACAACTCTGAAAGATAGGAGGAAGCGTTCCTCTTCAAATCGAAGACGACAAGAATCTGAGATTCTCAAGGTCTGAGAACGATGCAGACAAGGGGAATAGAGGAAGAAGATGAGAAAGGAGAGAGAATAGAGGCGGAGGGGTTGTAGCGGAAATCTCATCTGGTCATTGACATTAGGTTGCATGCCGATGCCCAGTTCTGAAACTCGGAGATCTCCGACCTCTCTCCACCGATCTTGGGAAGCGTGCAATAGGGGTCTTATTTGCCTTCTCCTCTTGGCTTTTTCTTCTCACCATTGCACCGTCATGTGCAATATGGGAGATATTCCCATTGTACAAGATAAAATTGGTGTTGGAAGGATTAGAATTCATCATATGTATCCACAAACCATGCTAGATGGTTGGATGAATTTAAAAAATTTTTCTAATCTATCTTGGGAACCAATTTTCTAGTGATTTTGAAAAACTGAATTTTTTGGATCAATCTTGTATTAAATCGGACTAGATTTGAAACCAAAATTAAAGATGATTGTACTTGATATGGAGACTAGAAATCACAACTCCCAGAGTGAATGTTTACACTCAATATCAGTCCCAAAACCACCTCCAACTAAAGATGGTACAGTGTACAGGAGAAGCCGGTTCAACACCACTGTTTTCAACAAAACTACTATCTAACTTGTTTGAATCGAATGAAGTTGTGTGAGCCTGATTTCCCCAACGTTTTTCTTGTAAAAATTCAAAGGAAAAACTAATAAAATCAGTTCTTGTAATGATTAGGTTGTGATAGGGTTTCTGAGAGAGAAGATAGAAGAGGAGAGAGCAAGAGAGTGAAGAGAACAAGTTCAGTTTGCCCTCTTCCTCTTAACCACTTTATATGGAACACTTTCCTAATCTAATTAGGAGATTATCCAAATCTGATTTAGATCTAGACTCTTTTAAGAGATCCTCTTAAGAGGATAGGTACTCCATACCTAGAACCACGCCTAGTTTTGACCCAAATTACATGGCAACTAAGTTGTTATGTGATAGTTTAACTAACAATATTAGTAATGGGCCTTAGGCCCACTTTTTTTAAAGGCTCACGTCCCCAAGTGTTGCAAGGCCACTTTGGGCCTGATATTGTATGGCGTGGGACCCTACAAAGGTCTCACACAAGTCCATAAGGGTTCGGTCCTACCTTTAAAAGAAACTAGGTTGAATTCACTACTCAGGGCAATGAGCCCCTGACCCAATCAACATTGGTTTAGTTTGGGCTTAAACTAATCTTGGATGGATCCTGAGATTAAAACCTTTTGCAAACATTTTTCATAAAATAATAATATAACATACAAATACATTTTGCAAAATTAGATTTTAAATATAGTTGAAATATTGCCAACAATTTAGGTTTCCATTAGAGAGAGTGTAAACTCCGATGTTCTTTTTGTCCAGCAAAGGGGCCAATCCTATTTGACCCAAGGTTTTAAATTTCGAAACGACCGACTAAATGCTCATTTGAGTCACCTTTAATTATGTCATTTAATACGTCATTAAATGTTATTCAAGTCAAATAACTTGTTAAAAAATCAAAGAAACAAGTTTCAAACCCAAGTCATTTGCTTACAACAATAATTAATTAACCATTATGCCAATCTTAATTGCTTATTAAAAGAACATGCTTTTTATACTTAAAGTAACCTGTCTTGCCTTGGTGGATGTTTCCCAACAAATGCTAAAATTTGATTATTAATATTTATATAATAATAAGATGAATACAAATTATATTTATTTATTAAAAATTAAAGTATATATTAACTTGTATACATAATAAATATTATCTAAATCTATATATAATAAATATTAACTAATAAATGACTTCAAAAAAATATTAACTAATAAATATTAGTATATATATAGACACATACATTTTAGTTCTTCTATTATTTTTCAACAGTTACTAATTATATCCCGATACTTTATATAAATCAATAAAGAATGGTTTTTATGTTCAAATAAATTAGTTATAATCACATAAAGCTCATTTTTATTGTTGTTAATATTTTTTAAGAATTTTTTTGGATTTTCTAGTATATTCATGCGTATTTTGATTTTTCATCTGTATCTATGTATTTCCAAAGCGTATCTTGATACGTCTCTTAAAAATTACCTTTCTGATACACCTTGCATTTTCGATACTTTGAACCTTAATTTGACCCTTAATGGATCTCCTTGGTTGGAACTTGGTATATCAAAAACAACCTAGTCCAACACCCAGTGTAGTACTATAATCAAGTCTGGGGTATAGTATAATTTTATAGTTTTGCCCATCTATCTCCAAGGTCCAAGGAATAATATGAAATTGGTCAAGGTTTAGTGTTTCTTCCAGACACCCACTGCCTATTCTTTGGGTCTAACCCTATTAGTTGAGACAAGTTGTTCCAACTATTTGGCAGTACATTAGTATTAGCCTTGTTAGGATAAACTTTCCAAATTTATCCAATGCCTGAGAACATTCTAAACTAACACAAGTCTCATAAGTGTCCAATTCAAGGGATAACACACAGAAAATATACCAATAAAACCATGAAAAAATAATGCACTTTATTCATTTACAGATAAATATTTATAAATGTATCAGTTTAACACTTGGGTAAGGAGCCTGAGCGCCCCCCCCCCCAAGAAAAACAAAAAAAAAACTTTTGGGCCCAAGCTAGCTTGTGTTGCTGGTTGGATCATTCTAGGCTTGGGACCACCCAAATTGCACCCCTAAGTGAGTATTTCTCTAGCCGGAATAAGCAATAATGAATGAATGAGTTTTGGATTATATGCATAATACAACTCTCCTGATTTCCAATACATCAATCAAGTAACAATGATTCATGAAAAAACTACCATGGTATCAAATACAACCTAGAAGTTAAGAACCATCACCATGCTTGACCTGAACTCCCAATCCATGGCTGCAAGTGTTGTGAAGATGGATTCTACCTCCACGCTCCATCCCTCTTAAAGATGGCAATTTGACCTGTTCTATGTGGTTTTGTCCTGTCTTGCCCCCCGATTGGGGCAATATTTTTGACCAATGATCGGGTTTGGGGTGGATTGCGGGGAACCCAAATCTCTAAGATGGTATTTGTCCACCATGTCCCGTTCTAGTCCCTGAACCCTTCCCACCCACTAATATAGTTCTAGGTGGGTATAGAAAAATAAAATAAATGTGCAAATAAGGATGACGAGGGTGGGGCAGGGCAATCTTTTATATTTTATTTTCTATTCCTTCTTTCTCTTTTTTAGTTTTCTATATTAAGTTGAAGTGTGATTTTCTTATCCAGCGTTGCCAATTGCCCTTGCCTCTATTTTGGACATTTGTTTGAAGTGCAATTTTGCACGAGTACAGACATATGAAGAGCACAAATTGTGGTTTGCTTTTGCTTAAGATTCTACTTCATGTTACTTTTCAGGGCCAAGAGGGGGGGATCCAAGGGAACTGTTAGCGTATTCTATCCACATTAGTATCCTAGAATTAAGGAAAGATAGTCTTATCGAAATTAGTATCCTATCATTATCTCCTTAATTTTAGGAGAGATAGTTCTATCGAAATTAGCTGTACATATATGTGGATAGAATACGCTAATGCCCCCTATGGTTCAGAAATGCACACGCTGAATACAGTTTTCTATGTAAGTTTTCTCTCTCCCCTCACTTCTCATCCAATGATTGCCCCCTATGGTTCATCCATAAATTTTGGCTCCCCTCATGAAAAATTCCCGACTCTAACCCTGTTTTCACGTCTTATTTTATTTCAACTGCAAGGTAAACAAAGGTCCTACTCTATGACTGCAACATGGGCTAGGAACACCCAATTAGAAATAAACAGGTCAGTTGCCACACATCTAGTAATAATATGGATGTGTGACATGTTTATTTTTAAAAGCAAATAAGAATTTGTAATCAAACTTGTTTTCATACCATTCTTTTGCATCATAATAGTAAGGTGAAATTGCATTGCAAAGAAACGATACGACAAACAAGTCCACCTCGTAGCAAATTCTTCTTCTTTAAGAAAGAAAGCTGGATTTTTGTTCAAGTTTAAACTTTAAACAAACTATTAGCTGGTGCAGAAGTGCTTAGGCTCTGTGTGGGAAGAGAGCAAATACAAACATGGACAGTGC